TGTTCCTGACAATATACCTCTACTACAAGAAATTGCATTTTTGAAAAATAAAAAACTGCTATTATCATTGATTAAGAATATCAATGACAAGCATCAACAGAGTAGAAGAGAAGCAATAGAAAATAACTTGCTTCAAACGTGCGAGTGTTGTTTCGATGATGAGCTCATACCGGAGGAATGTTTTTTTTGTAACGATGGGTGTATATTTTGTAAACCTTGTATTAAAAAAGGCGTAGAAACATATATAGGAGACGGAAAGCTACACTTTCCCTGTTTAGGAAATTGTGGAAGTGAATTTGGGCTTTCTACTTTACAGGTAAACAATATTGTATTGGATATTCAAACCAGTAATGTATCTAATTCTTTTAAAAAATATTCTAAGTTCCTATATTTTTCAATTTTTCCTGAGGTTTTGGAAATTTTGAGTTTTGAATGAGAGCAATCTAGCATTCTGAAGTCACTGCTGGAAGCAATTTTTTTAAAATAAAAGAAGTATGCTCAAAATTAAGCTAAATAATTTCAGAAACCCTACATAATAATTATCTACACTCCTTTTTTTTCGAAAAGGTTACCTTTTATTGCTTATTAGATTAATTTTATTTGTGCTTAAACTTTGATAGGTATAGAAGTTTAATTAAAAAAAAGAATGTTAATGAATGTACTGTGCACCATAAAGTTAAAAGAACTTTTTTTTTATTTCCTGATTAGTCACAACTTGAATTTAACTAAAATGTGAAATCTGAACAGAAAAGTTGTACTAGTGGAGAATAGCTTGAAAATAAGGTTATGAAGAATTAAAAATGATTTGGATTTATAAAAGTTCTAGTTAGTTCTAGAGTGTATTTGATTATATGTTCAAATTTTGTCCAATGCATTATTAGTATTTAACTATTGCTTATTTAGATGGTTTTGGATCCGCCAGTCTTTTCGAAAATGTTCCAACGTAGACAACTTGAAGAGATTAAGAAGGCGAATATTGACGGTTTGGAAATGTGCCCATTTTGTGAATTTGCTACAATACCGGCAGAAAATGACAAAACCTTCCGATGTGAAAATCCAGATTGTCTAAAGGAATCTTGTAGAAGTTGTTGGCATGAATCTCATATTCCCTTAGCTTGTAATGAAATAGAGTTTGATGAAGACGTCAGACTGAGGACATTTATTGAGAATAAGATGACTGAAGCACTTTTAAGGTAAAAAAAATAGTCATAATTGTAATAGCGTTAATTGAAATAATCAAAAGTCCTGCTGTATCTGCATACTATATGTATTAATTAAATTGCAAAACTATGGAGAGAATCAGGAAACTTGCTCACTAGGACAACGGTATGGTTGAATTAATTTTGATTTTTTAGAAGATATTTTAATTATTTAAAAAATGGAAAAAATTTATTATTTTTCATCACTTGGAAAGTATAATTGTTTATTAAACTAACATCAGGACACCCATTATTAATTACAAGATTCTAAAAAAAATATATTCATCGTTTAAAATTTAGGTAATAACCAGAAGGTTAAACTATTCAGTAAAGTTATTTTTCCAAACAATACCAATAATAATATGTGTTGACAAGTTTTTCTTTCAATTTTACATTTTTATTACGTACTTTTATTACTTATTATTGCTTGTTTTTTTATCAGTTTAAATTTATTGCTAATCCTCTATTATCCCATAAGCACCCCCTCCCCGATCCTATAAGAATGCTTCAGGCCTTTCCATTATTTTGCGTCGCATATTACAGCCAATTAATTGTGATTATTTTGAATACAAATATCGCTTATGGTTAACTAGCACTTCAGGAACCTTTACCTTATCTCTTAACATCCTTATTACCACCTTTTGCATTCCTATCTCACTCTTCTTGCACCTTCCTAAATTATTCTTGATGTTTTCTTTTTGAACTCTTAACTTCTAGTTACCATCCTTTAGATGGTAATACGAGTATTCGGCTTTCAATCTTTGGGTATGTCCTTTGACGTTTGATTGTTTACATTGAATTGATTATTATTTATACATGAAATAGAATTATTTTGATCGATTTGACATCATTTGATGTGAGATATGATTTGAAATCAATGAATTGTTTGGTTTTGATATAACACTATTTCTTTATGCATTTTTGTGAATTTAAATAACAATTGTTTTTTTTTTGAAGACTCCAGAATATACATATTTGATGTTTAATTTTAACTTTTAAAAATCTAATGAATGTTATGTTAATCAATAGTCCCAATTTGTAAAAGAATACTTACTTTTAGGGAATGCTGGAGATGTGGAAAAAAATTCATAAAAGAATCAGGATGTAATAAGATGACATGCGATTGTGGAGCAAAGATGTGTTATATTTGTAAACAACCTATTGAAAATTATAAACATTTCTCAAACAATCCTGGCAGGTTAGTCATGCAAATATATACACGTAGTTCTCAACAGTTATCCTTTTTTATTATGCTAGTGAATGTTTTTGGTTATTTATGTAAACACCCTGATGATAAGTATTATTAGTCGTATTACAATTAGTATTTTGCTTTACACATAAATTTAAATTACTAAAATAATCATTTTTGCGACTTGATTGTGAGTGGCATGTAGGGTAAGAGATTAATAAAGAGTAATGTCACATTCTTAAGAGCAGAATTTTGCAGCTATTTTATTATTTTGTAGGCTTGAATTTAATTAACAAAAGGAGGAATTATTTGTTTAAATAATTGTAATCTCACAGAAAACCGAAAGCTGTCATATAGCTATTTAACTATCTACGAATTTTCTGCTGGGAGTAATGTCATTCCTTCAATACATTCCGAGATATGAACAAAAAACCAAAAAGGTCACTTTTAAATTTAATGAAAACAAATGCAGAAAAAAAGTTATACAAGAGAAGTAGCGGATGATCTAATGTTTGCCTTCGAACTGTGTTGAACTATAATAAATGGTAATCGCATGTCACCTACATTTGTATTTTACGTACAGGCCGTCAAAAGGAGCCGTCACTATTGATTTTCATTATATCACACATGTACACGCGATCTTATATGAAGCCACCATTGCTATAACCGTATAATAGCTAAACACCGATATTTTCATACGGTCGTCAAAAGAAACCTGCATATACATGGTGGCGCACGTTGGAAGCTTTTATTGTTTAGAAAACAGCCCTGTGATAAATTTTGGTTGTATTTTGTATTTTAGTAACTTACAAATTGCTCTTGAAGTTGTGGCGCAGTCGAGTTCAGTAATTTTTAGTGTTTTTTTGCTCTATTGCTTGGATTAAGATATAATAAACAATCATGAAATCGAAAGTCCTATTATATATATAAGAATGAACGTTGTAATTAATGTGACTAGAAATACTACTTGTAAGGTATACACATTTTTTAAAAATTGATTATGTCACGTAATTAATCATGTGAAGTAACATCACGTGAAAAATCGATAGACTTATACAATAGATTGTGCGATTGACATAACTCTGTGCTTCACATTCGATGTGTTAGCCCATGAAGTGAGCATAGAATTATACAACATCTCCGTGATAGAGGAAGTAGTTTTAGGATGTCTACTTCTTTCTATTAACATCTACAATTACATATACATGTGTATATGAGAGGTAGTAAGTTGAATAGAAAGAGATAGATATTCTAAAACTACTCCCGTACCACCGAGCCTCAGCGACTACGCAGAGTTGTGTGGTCTATCTGCATAGACTTTTGCAGGGTAAAAAAATAAGCTTCGCGGAATTAAGAGGAAAAAGAGAATTTATTTGCAGTATGGAAGTATAAGGAGGAATAACTTCTATTCTACTCCAAAAATAACTGATTATAAATTGTAAATGTATGTAGGTATTGTTTAGGTTATTCGTAAATAAACAACCGTTCGATTGCGAGAAACTGAGATACATTTTATTAACAGAATTACAGTATACATATATGAACAATACACAAAGTCCATCGTTTTATTAGACTTAATGTTCGAAACAGGTAACGGCCTTGACAATTCCTCAAGGGTGCTGGGTGGCGTGAAAATTTGTCTTAATAAAACTACAATTACCTAACCAAATATTTTTTCTTTCCTTTGTGTTAGGTACTTTCTTAACAGCAATGAACAAATGTTATTTTCTTTTACCGTAATGGACGTGTCAACATTATAATAATAATAATAATAATTTATTCAATAAACGGGAATACTCCCTTCTTACATAAGGACATTCGCTCAGTCCAAACTCTCTTTGACAACAATAAAATTCATTGTATAAATAGTATCACAGCAATATACAGTTAACTAAAAAGACTAAGAAAAGCAGCCAAAAGTATATCAAAAAAGAAAGCAATTAATAATACACATAGAACCACAATCAGTGACAAAATCTAAAATTGATACAGAATACGAAGACAAAGATATAGAAAATATATCGACACTTTCAGATATTAAATTTCCCAGTTTGTGCAGTCGACTCTGCAGACTGTTTGCCGCTGAAGTTGCACGAGAAAAAGGAATAGCAAAAAGTTGATTACGGCGAACTTGTCTGGAGGGAACATGAAAATTGATATTGGATAACATAGTTGAACAATCAACTAAGCCGTATATAATCTTAAATAAAAGTGTCAAATCCGCGATGTTTCTCCTGGTTTCTAGTGATTGAATGTGGAAAAGTTTTTTTATGTTAGTATAATCGTGATCATCGAAACGCATGGGTGTCATATTTACAAAGGCGAGTTTGCGCAAAAATTTCGATTGAATCGATTCAAGTATTTTTTTATCAGTCGCAGAGAACGGATACCATATTGGCGAGGCGTATTCTACTTGAGGTCTGACAAGTGTATTAAATAGTATAATTAAGGTAGACGGATTTCTAAAAAGTTAAATAATTACGAAAGATAAAACCAAGTAATCTAAAGGCTTTGTTCGTTATTTTGATAATATGAGCGTGAAATGAGCCGTCTGATGTAACAGTAACGCCGAGATCAATGGTTTCATCTAACGTTAACAGAGATGTTTGTCGAATATGATAGTCAAATAAGACGCGTGAGTTTTTCTTTTTTTTGGTGTACCGAACGACATGACATTTTGCAACGTTAACTGACATAAAATTGTCATCACACCATCTTTCAAAAGACTGCAGATCGTTTTGCAGCAATATCGCATCATCAACCGAGTCGATTTTACGGTATATTTTTGCATCATCCGCGTATAATAAAATCTGACTATGATTAAGACAGGAGCTCAAATCATTAATAAATATCACAAACATCAACGGACCTAAATGTGAGTCTTGCGGGACGCCCGACGTCACCGTGAACTCGTCTGATGTGGCGCCTTTAACTTTGACCAGCTGTTTTCTATTGCACAAATACGTACTCAACCACGATAAGAGAGGGTTGCCGATTCCAAGTTGTCTAAGTTTCGCAAGCAGTACATCATGTGGAACCTTATCGAAGGCCTTTGCAAAGTCAGTGTACACAACGTACGGCGTAACTAGCTTTTCGAATAACTTTGGAATTGAATTTATTATTGAGATAGGTCTATATTTAACGGCATTAGTTTTGTCACCCGATTTAAAAATAGGAGTGACTCTACGTTTCCAAACTTTAGGAAAAATGCCTGTCGTGAGAGATTTGTTGAAAATTATATACAGCGTAATTGATATTGCAAAAACACAGTTTTTCAGAAAGATATTAGGAATTAAATCTGGGCCCGGACCGCTATTTGGTTTCAACTTAGTTATGCTCTCAAAAATAAATTCTAATGAAAGATACACTGCGTTTAAATTGACTGTAGTATCGAAATTCGGTGGCACATAAGTTCGGTTGGTAATCGGAGAATAAATAGATTGAAAGAAATCAGCAAAAAGGTTACAAGTTTCGTTGTAGTTTGTACTCTGATGATTTTGAAATAAAATGGTTTCCGGTAAAGCATTATCTTGTCGTAGTCCATTTACAAACTTAAAAAATCCCCTTGTATTTGCGCATAAATTACGTTCAGTTTTATCACAATAGTTCGAATGTGAAACCTGGGATTGATGTTTGACTGCTGTTCTATAATAAGAAAATGCTTCATAATCCGCAGGTGATCTTGTGGCCTTAAACCGTTTGTGCGCCTTCTTTTTTTCAAGATATTTCAGATCGTTAGAGAACCAATCAGGAAAAGTGTCCAACGTAACTCGCTTCCAAGGTACAAATCTACTAATACAATCGTTCAGAATTTCCATTAAACAGTTAACATCGGTGTTTACATTCTCATGTGATAAAATAGAATGCCAGTCAATTAAGTTAAGAAAATACACACAACTTTGATAGTCAGCTTTAACGTTATTATGTGTAGTAGTAAGTATTGTTAATGTTTACTTTAGCCGATCGACAACCGGCATTGTTTACATTCTTCATTGATGTTATAACCATCCAAAAATTGTCAAAAGACTTACAGTCAGCTTTTGTATAATGAGAATACAACAAAATAAAACTGATGTGTATTTGATAGGCGCTGCTGGCCTTTGCAAAGATGACAGCGAGAATTAAGCTTAAGCCTGTGACAGATTTTCTTGATTGCTAATCCATATCTTATAGGTACATATTACGGTTATACACCATTTTTTCCTGCAAATCTTATTTAAAGAGCTGTTGAAATATTTTTAACTGTGGATAATTTTTCTTTAAAATCGAGGCAACTCAGCTGGTTTTAATTAAAGCGGTAAAGTGTTAGTGCACAATCCATTAAGGGGACATTGCCCGAAACCTCAAGCTTGGGATGGTACATTTACTCGTTTGCTCTACGCATCAACGACGTCTATTGAATTCAGAAGGGACCTCGATCCAAAATAAAGGTCATCTTGACCGACTTGTTCCCAAGAAAAGGCGACGTCACTAATCGGAACGCTCAGTTTTACGAGGGGGGGGGGGCAGTGTCTCGCTTATACATCTCACCATACGCTAGTTTAAGTTTACACTAATGACAAAGAAGACTAAAGTTTCTAGAATATATTCCGGAGTGTTTATAGAGAAACTTTAGTCCCTATAATTATTTACCGCGAGTTCAGAAGAAATAAAGCTTTAAATAATTTTAAAAATTGCAGTGGCGTTCACAAATTTTTAACTATGTACTTATATTTAGGTAACGTGAAGAAAAAATTTGTACCTCTTTTAAGCACATTGCGCGCACTGAAGAATGTGAGACTTGACATAATTAAAGTTCGTGTTACAAACATATTAAATTAAACAAAATCATTTATTGTTTACGTTCGTACACTGTAAAAAGCTAACGAAGTAATTGTGGAGTGGATGATCATAGAGGATCGTTCAAACTTAAAAATTTAATGGATTGCAGTCGAACTTCGACCTCTGAGCAACCACTAATTCATATAACTCTATGGTGGAGTGTTGTAAGATAAGAAATTGTAAAAATCTCCGAACCCAGTTCCACTGATTGGATTTTCGTGATACCTCTTCGATTGCATTGTTAAAAGCTTAAATGAAGAAGTTTAGCCATTAAAATTTGCCGATCTCACAAAGATTCAAAAAAAGGTTTTACTGCATTAATAAAAAAAGACGAGATTTTAAAAAAAATATTTATTGTCATTATGTTATTTCAAAATTGAAAAATTTTCAGTCAGTTATCTACATTAACGTCGTCGTCACCAACCTCATTAATTTGGATGATAGGCGATGGATTAGTACTGTTGCCATTGTATGCTGAGCAAGCTACAGTGCAATTCAATCCACTTTTTCTGCACCTACAAGATGTTCTAAAACTTGTTTTGCTTGCGAAAAAAATCATTTTCAGTAAGGTCTGTAGCACCAGCGTAAAAAATATAGTTGGCGTTTTTACATACTTTTTATAAAAGGCAGCAGCATTTTGTAAGTTTGGCCGTTTTTCGAAATTTTTTGCAGACATTTCTTTCCCCTATGGAAAAAAGCAGATGTCGTGTCGCGTCACAGCCAGTGAAAGAATATAAAAAATTGAAATGCCGTTTCCAAGCTTTTAGATGGGTACCTACACTTTTGTGGTACTTTGCCAAATCTAAAAGAAAATGAAACTGTTACATAATACTAACAAAGGTAAAAAATGAACATCTTAGAAAGCCTAGTAATATCAAGAGCGATAAAGGAGAATTGTCTTAAATTCTTTCTATGCCACTGACCGGATTGATTAAAACTAATACATTGATGTTACCTTTTCAGATGTCCTTTGTATACCAATGATTTGGACAAATTTCACGAAAATATTGTTGCCGAAGGTGGTCTTCAGGCAAAGCTCGCACTAGGACTAGATAAAGAACCGAACAAGCTTAAAAAAGATCCTATGGAAAATCTGGTTTTGAAAAATTAAACAGTGCTGCTGGGATGTTCCTATTTGTGCCTTACAATTCCTAGAATTACCTGTTATTTTTTTAAAAGAATTAGTTTTATGTTTTTATTGATTTATTTGATTTTGTTGTTAATGCCAAGATATAAGAGTATTGTCTAATGAAATGTTTTTAGAGTAAACATTAAGTGGTGATAATTTTTTTGAGAACGATCCAGTTGTTTTAAGTTAATAAAATACTTTTTTGGATGCAAAATTCAGTTATTAATTTATGTTAAATTGGTCGTTTTTCATTACATTAAAAGAATCAAGTTGTACTAAATTATTTATCAAATAGAAAGAATGACCATTGTCTTCAAGAAAATGTTATGTTAATGTATTAAAGATGTATTGTTGGTTTGATTACGCCTAATTTAAATGAAAGATTGTAATAAATTATTTACCTATAATTGGATTTTCTAGAATACTGTTTTGTTAATACAAAAGTATTCTTAAAAATGTTAACCATTTATTATAAAACTTACACATAAAGATTTAAATAAATACTTAATACGACAAAAAGTGGTGCTGTAGCAGTAAATCATTTAATCGAGTTGTATATCGATTGACATAAACAGCTGGTATGGTTTTCAACTTCGAACGTAGCATATAAGTCTTCATTCTCTCTCGACTTTGCAGTGTTAAATACTCTAAATGTTATATTAATTGTTTCTATTACATGGGGGAAACACGATGTTTTCGGATGTTGACAGCAACCGGACTGTTCATCACATCTGTGCAGAACCGTCATTACAGGATGAAACACCTAAAATAAAAGCGTTTTTTATCATATAGCGTTTATGATGAATAAAGGTTGTTGAGGACCCCTTTAAATAAATAAAATACGGTGTTTTTCAGTGCCTTTTATATAGGTTAATTAACATACCTATCAGATTTTAGTAATAAACTATAAACTAAGTATAAAGCTATAACTGATATGCAACGTATTAAAGTAATTGATCTGCAATCATAGATATTTTTTTATAAAAAATTGAAAAAAGTGGTATTTTAATATTTTTGTTATAATTTTAGTTTTGAGTTCAAATATTTCTTTCAATTTTGGTGGCAATTATTCTAACCATTCAAATATAATTTTGATAATAACCGACATTATTGCCAAAATTAAATTTGAATTATTTTTTTCAAAGAAAAAAATTACATTGTAACCTCACTGAATGCTCTGTAAACTTTAGTACTGTTAGTGAATCACAAAAAGCATGTTCTTCTAACAGAAAGAAGTGGTATGTATCAAACTTATAACTCCTATAATGCTACTTATATAAATATATACTGTACGTAATTTGATTGGCCGATCTCAAAATGCATAGGTATTTAAATGTTTTTCCGTTGTTAAAATCATAAAAAAAATCACTTTGGTACTCCAGTTAGCTTAGATTTGGCCGACCACTGCACTAATTTAGGCCGTTAGATGTAAATTAAATTACATTGGATCATTCTAAAATCTCAAAAGAGAATTTGGAAATTAACAAAATTAGAACCAATCTAGTTAATACTCAAACCGAATTAACTAAAATGCTCGAATTCTAATATAGGTAATAGAAGCTCTTATTGATTTTTTTTAAACTTTGGTGATGTTCTTGTACAGTATATTTTCGTAAATATCGCCTTGGCCGAAATAAATTGGTTAAGTTCAATTTTGGTGAAAGTTTGGGTTTGGTTTGTTTTAATTTCTTTTATTAATTGATGTGATAATTTCTATATCGAATAAACATCCATCTCAGGGAGTTTCTATGATTTGACTACAAATCGGCATATCACATTTATTCTTTAATTTGGAAACGTATTTTCCTATAATTAGCATATTTACATTAATTAAATGATATATGGTTTATTCGAGAAATAGTGTCAGTACCGTGATACTGTACACATGGTGATAAACTACCGTGGTACCATGGATATGTACTGCACTATCTAGGAGTAATTGTTAATAATTATGTTGTAATGGAAAATTCGCTGATGAGAAAAGAATGAACCTGCGTCATTGTCTCTTAGGTACCATAGTAATGCCCCTAATTCGATCTAGCAAAAATTGGTAGCGCATACCGCTGCCCTTTTTCAATGTTACGTTTATCGAACTACGTTCTGCAGTAATAGGTCAGTTATTAGTTCACTATTCTCTTCTATGTCTGTCTTTATTTTTGTTAGTCGATTTAAGAAAGAATAGTGTATATGAAGTTCTCTGAAAGATCCATACTCTTTCACTTTTTTTTGTGGGATAGTTATTATATATATATANAGCGAAACTAAGTGTTTAATTTATTTATTTATAGTATTTGTAATTAGCATTATGCATTAATTTATATTGGGGATATTTGACATTAAGTATTCGCGTAATGGCATTTTTACTCATTTAACAGTTTTGCCAAAAACGTCCTGATTATAATGTAAAGTACAAAATGTACCATCACAGTTTAATGCCCTCGCCTTCAGTTGAAAATGTATGCTGTTGTCTGAGGAACACGGTAGATATTTCAAAAAAAAGTACCAAAACCGAAATGTTTAGACGATGCCTTTTTTAATTTTTTTAATTGAATAGTAATTTCAATTGTTTAATAAAAATTATTAAGTGTAATTTATTTTTTTAAGCGATAGTTTATTTATCAATTGCCAAAGATGATTCGCTTGATTATTTAATGACATAATTTTTAATTTACTAAAATAAAATGCTTTTGACATTTCTCAGAATCCAGTGATAAACTTTAACTTTTCCGAAATATATATAAATACATATGTTTAATGATATTACATTTCTAATTTGTTTTAATTTTTAAATTTCCCCTGTTCCCATTTTTAAAATAAGTAAATTTTTCTTCCTGCAAAGTTTTTGTAAATAGTGCATACTCTTTTATAGAAAACTTATAAAGTTAATAAAAATGGGAAAAATCATTTTATCTACATTTCTCTTCAATTATGGTTTTTATTAAAAATGTGCAATTTTAATTTAACACAATAAGACAGGCGGCGATAGAATATTCGTCTAATCTTACCTTCGAAGTTGTGTCGTAGGCGGGATCACTATCTTTAATTATATTTTCCATCCTTATTGCCCTAGGTTGTGGGTGTTTGCATTTAAAATTAGAGGCTAACTGTTCATTTAGACGCCAGTTATTTTCGAAATAATTATCATCTGAAGCAATCGTCGCACACACTAACAAAACAAGTACAACGTCATGAAACACATTCCACATGTTTCATTTATCTCGGTTTAATTGTAGACATACCAGTTTTTAACAATAATTCACATACAATATTTTGTAATTTAATTAATTAAATAGTTGCCGCCGTTCGTTGTTACGCTGTTTTTAAAATTGTAATTATCGGCGATAACCTCATGGGCTTAACTAAGAATCTGGGCACTATCACAAGCGCCGGGTTAGTTTTTTTACAATACATTTTAATCACTGACTAATTTATAATATAAAGGGCGTGGTAAACTGTGTAATAAGTTTTCTAGTAAAACACACGTGTGACTAATTATCTTTTATGGTTTTACCGTGTAAATCGGAATTTTGCACTCATCTGTGCCAATAAACGAATTATATCTTTTGAAATGCGGATTCTTTCAAATATACATGTATATGGTAAGATTACTTGTTAGAAAAAGAATAATTTTTGTATTGGACACTATTTCATTAGTGTGGTAGTGATCTTTCTGATATTAGGTACCACAAAAGGTCAAGCAAATGAAGATAGCGCCGGCGCCGTTTATTCCTTGGATTCATTGTTTTCCTTGTACTAAATTCACTTAACTATTTAAAAATACTGGTAGATTTATTTACAAATATAAAGTAAAAAATTTAATATTGCAGGTACCTAACTTCATATGTATGTTAATAATAGTTTTTTGTTACAATTACCTTTATCTGGAATTAATTAAATTTTCATTAAAGAGAGTATAAATCGAAATTTTTCGCAAAAGAAAGTTCTGTAAAACTGATTTTTTTTTCCAAAGAGTTATAACAATGAGTTATAAAATTGTCTTCTTATCAGCATAAATATTTTTTATCAAGTATCATTGCTCATTGTATAAGGAAAACAAAAATTAATTGTTTGAGGTTGTAGTTTAGTGACTCACATTAATAAAACAAGAAATTTTGATTGTAATTTATACCTATTACAATTCGTACAATTTTTGAGAAATGTTCAAGCATAATATGAATAACATAACATATTAAAGCCCCTATTTCCCATTAAAAAGGTATTCTCAATATAATATAAATTTGGATAATATATTTTCATTTTGTGCTTTAAAGAGAAATTTGTTTTCAAATATACAATATATATAATAAAAATCGTGTGGCTGGACTAAGTGGCTAGAAGCTCCCTCTTCCTTGCCGCTGGTGGGTGGAACGTCGGAGATAACCAAGCACTATAAACAAAAAATGCAAAAAAGAGAGCCGCTGGTGGGTGGAATGTCAAAGATGTTGGTATGGATTTGTTCGTTACTTTTCGTAGATGCAGGAGATTGGCTCCTTTACATATTCATCTTGAGGGGTTTATAGGAATGGCATGTTTCCTTGGTGGATCGGTTGATGTTGGAGAAAGGGGTTTTTGTGTTGGTCTAAGTGTTGGGAGAATTTATATGTTTAAAAATGGGATATCATTACTTTAATTTAATATTGAAAATGAATTATACAATTTAGAATGACTTGTCAGTAATTTAACTATAGTTAATTAATAATTTAATAATAAAAAAATAATCTTAGCCTACCTTACTAGATAATTGGGGAACGTAGAAATGGCAGGGAACTATCACCGGGCGAGTGAAGACGGTAAGTCGTCCCACCACCCTGCATCTTCGTGATCTTGAATTCGACTCCCGACTCTTAACTTCTTGGCTCGACTATGATCGATTATAATTATTGATTTCGCCATTTAAACGGTTGCTATTTGACCTACTAACACCGTAGGTAAGTAGGTGTTAGCTTGCAATTTTAAATAAACAATTTAGATGTAGGTACCAACTTTGCATTAGAGACCTAAATAAGAATCTATGGATTTTAGTAGTATGGACAGTATTACGGCCTGGTTGGTTAGGAGGTTTTTGTAGTTCGGATATCATAATAACGTGGGAGGTTTTTCAGTTTCTAGGGAAGTAGTCCAAAAATTGTGTTGGTTATGCTGGTGATGGATTCAACCCCGTTTGGAGGAAGTTTCTTTAGAGCACGAAAGGTAATGTTATTCGATCCGGGGGCCTTCCTGTCGTTTCTGTACTTGATGATTTCCCTTATTCTTTGAAAGGTGGTGGTGATGAGTGGGTTTTCTGTTGTTTCACTCAATATTTTGTGAACCATACTGTTCACATGTGCTTCATAGTTTATGGGTTGCAATATGTCGTCAATTGGGATGGGTTTAAATTGGTTTTCTAGTTGATTTACGAAGAGTTCTGCTTTTTCGATATCGGTGATTGCGAAAGGGCCATCTCCTATTTGTAGAGGTACGATGTGGATTCGCTTTTTCTTTAGTTTCCTGGCGACCGAATGTAGGTTAATCTCAGTTGACGTTATTCGAAACTTCACGCTCTTACCTAATTACAGAAAGTGACCGTTCCCTACATCCTGTCCACTTACACATTTTTACGCCTATTATCTTAGTCACGGTCATCTCCATCCACTTTCCTGGTATTCCATCGAATAACACCAAACTAGAATCCTATCTGAATGTTTCCCTACTCACATTCCTACAACACTCACAGTAATTCTTAACTATCAACTCTCTCGCTATTTCTCTCTATTACATCCGTTTGTATATTCATTTGCCTTTAATATTATTGTACATAGCTTGAATAGAGACTGTACATTACACGCATTTGATTTTTGTTATTGTGCCATACCAAACTAAGTATATCTCTAAACGACCAAACTATTATTAAGTTTAGGTTGCAACATTGTTTTAAGTTGTAGATTGGATTTATAAATACGGTCTATTTCTATTGTTATGAGGAAGATTTCGTGCCGGAGTCTGTTGATCAGACTTACTGCTTTGATTTTTGGGTATCCTTGTTGGTGAAGGTCCTTTGCTATGTCTCAATGCTTATAGAGGGAGGGCGTCTATGAACAACTTTTAGTTTTTTTTCTTTCTACGTTATGACACTGAAATTTTGTTCACCGTTCGAATAGATATTGATTCCATTTTTGCTGGCTCTTGCTTTGTGGTATTGTATATTTTTCTGTTGGAGTAGTGTTGAGATGCTATTTCATTTATGAGGTTCTCTCAGGACTATCGGTGGCGTTTTTAGTTGTTGGTCTTCGTTTTCAGGGTTTGATACCTGTGATGGTGTTTCATACCTGTTGCTCTTTTCAATTATCTCTTTTTTAAATTGGACGAGAAGTGAGTTCTGGTTGGGTTTCTCGGGTTTGTGTTGGATAGATGTTAGCGACGTTTCGGTGTTGGTTTCCATTTATTGGCTGGATGTTTGTGTGGTTGTTTTGTTGATTTTTCAATTTTCTATTTTCTCGTGTTGCATATGGTTGTGTGTTGTTTTTGTTTTCTTGTTGGAGATTATACAGTTGCTTTCTCAGATGAGAGTTTACTTCCTGCATGAAATTTAGGGCTTCTTCGTATTTGGCTAGGATCTTCGAGACTGTTTTTTGTTAATTAGTTCCTCTTATCCTGGGTTACAGCATTGCATGATCGGATACTATTATAGGTGGGGTTGTGTCGTTGGGTATCTTATGATTTTGTTATGTTGGTTGATTTTTTTTGATTGTATTGTATATTTATTACATTCACGATATGTGTATGTGTTAGTTAGGTTGGAGTTTAATTCATTGGGACATTGCGTTGTTTGTCCAGAATGAATTCTAAATTAGTTGTAATTTTGAATGTTGTTGTTTCTTGTTACTTGTATTTCTCACTGTTTTACTATTCTGTGCGATCTATGCAGGTACGGATTCTTTGTTTTGGTTTTTTTAGCGGAAGGGAAATCTTTAAAAGACACCCCCTGAAGGGGGTAGTGTCGGATTCGTCGAAGCGCTAAACCGGCTAAAACCCCTCCTCTAGTAAGGAGATCTACCCAAAGGTTATACATTCCGGGAAAGGTTCTGTGGGAAGAGGTTGATGGCGGGGCCTTCTGAAACGATCGTTTGGTTTGGGGACGTAGTCGGAAAGTATCGAGATGGACAGGTTTGAGTGACCTGATATTAGGCCCGGTGGTTTGCCGCAAATCTAATTGCGGCTTCGGGGAGTGAAGGTAAACTAGTTTCTTTCAGAATTCTAGGGGTAGTCGAGCGCAGAAGCAAGTATCCGCATGTAGGTGCTTTAGAGAATTGATAAGTGGTATTGATGTAGGCAGCTCCAGATGGGGATGGCGTAGGAGCAGATACTCCTGATGATTGCGTTGAACGCACAAATTGGTTAATGAAAGCCTTGGAACGTACGGATAGGGTGTGATTCTGCCAAGTGAATTTTCTGAGGAGATATGTGACGGAATTGCTCCATGGGTTAGTTGTTGACGTTGATAGGGGGTGGTTTTTGTGTCCTACGGTAGAAGAAAACTGCTTCTGACTTGACCTCGTTAATGGAAAGTTTCCATCTTCAGTACCCCAGGAACAGGGGCAGATTAATTTTTGCGGAGCACTGGAGAATGGTTTGAGCGGAGTTTATGAGGATGATGTCATTGGTGTAAAGGACTGTGAGGATTGGGGTATGGGATGGCATGTCTGCGCAGAAAAGGTTGAACAGAAGTGGCGACAGTTTGGAGCCTGGGGGACACTGACCGTGAAGGGTTTACTTTGGGAAAAAGCAGAGCCAACGCGAACACGGAGTGTTCCGTCAGAGAGGAAGGATTAGATAATCCCGATTAATAAATGTGGGTGTTTAGGGGCGATAAGTTTGGAGATATGGCTTTCGTGCATTAAAGTATAATGGCGCTCATTTACGTTGACAGAGATGGAAACACGGAGAAGTTGATGGTTAGTGCCATGCTGACTGCGGAAACCGTGTTGGAAGTCGGGGGGAGGTTGTTTCGCTTTACGTGGTCAAGAAGCCGGTTCAGAAGGACCGATTCAACTACTTTGCTCAGCGAACTGAGCAGGCTAATGGGCCTGTAGCTTGAGGGAGAGTTGAGGGGCTTCCCTTTTCTGAGGAGACAGATGACGGTGGCTTCTTTCTAGACCGGAGGGAAATGGTGGAGATGCATGATACCGTTTGTGATGTTGCAGAGTGCGGTTGTGTTTTTCACCAGGGGATTTTCTCTTTCTCAGAGATCAGATGGTGGGGAGAATTTCACGGGGGGTTGTGTGCTTAAAGTCGGAAACAGTTGGGATGAAGTTTTGAGAGGCGATGTTGGTTCGTTCGTGAAAGTCGGCAAGGTCAGCAGGGCTGGGAAGTGGGGAGCACTGGAGACAGAGAGAGTCTGCAAAGATTGCATCTTTTTACTCACCTGGAGTGAATTACGGAGCACTTTTTTTAGCGGCGGTAAGTGTGGGGCTCTGTTTCCCAGATAACTTTCCAAGTGCTTTTGGGATGTGTTTCGGCCTAAACGATATAATTATCGAAGGTGGCGCTACGAAATTCGGTTAAGCGAGTATTAAGTTCACGTTGGATGGCGGGAACGCAGTGTTTTTGCCACAGACGGCGGGTTTTGTTTTTGAGCGGGAGGTCGTGGAAAGTCTAATGACGCTGGTGGTTTTGTTTGAAAGGAGATTGACAGCTTACTCTAGTTCCGCTATTTTTTTTAGTTTTTTTATTTTATTTTTACAAACTCTTTAAATTCTTGTGAATTAAATGGTGGACCATTATCTGGCATTAAGATAAAAGAATTTCATGACGAGCAAATATAGATTTTAGATTTCTTATAACTTCTTTGATCTTCATTAAGACCTTAGATATGATTTCAAAATATTAGAAAACCAATCAACTATTAACAAGTAATTGATTCCATTGTACTTAGTAAAAGAAACCC